ATTGTGTGACCTTAGGCAATTTACTTAAATTATCAGGGCCAATTTTTTCATTTATAAATGAAAAGTTATTGAGAATTAAATGAGATAATCCATGTAGAGCTCATTGAACAGTGTCTGTCACGTAAGAAACACTCAAAATTGTTAGCTATTATTAAATTCATCATTTCCATTGTTTTTGCTGGATATTTGGGTCATTTCCACTATTTTTCTGAACATTCTTATACATGTATTACTGAAAACTTATGTAAACATAGCAAAGTAGAATTGCCAAGTCAAAATGCTTATGTATTTTAAATATTGATAGTATTTTCTAATTGCCTTCAAATAGTTATACTAGTTTGTACTTCCATTGATGGTTATCTGAAATCCCACTATTTTGTGTATTTCTTTAATCTTTCCTGAGGGTATCTTTTTGTAAGTTTTTTGGTAGTTGATATTTATTATGTTAACTGCCTATTCATCATGTTTGTACATTTTTTATTTTGAGGGGATTTTTGTTTAAATGAGCATTTGGTCTGCTAAGAAATTTGATTCATCTATAATTTGTAAATTGTATTTTGTGGTTTTTTGTTTAGATTTGTTTTTGGTCTTTTTGTGCAGAATTTTAAAATCTTGTAAAATTTATCAAACATTTATAAAAAATTTATAAAATCTTATTAAACAACAATATTTTCTTTATTGATTGATTTGAGGGGCTGTTTGCTTCTAAAATTATTCAAGTCTTTAATTCTAGTATTTTCATGATTTTACTTTTTGTTTAGATTCCTAGATAGGGGATTTTACTTTTCTCCAAATAGAGAAATCTTCAAATACTGCAAACGTAAAATTTTGATTAATGCCATCCTTTTTACACTGGCTTGAAATACCATCTTTATCACACAGTAAATCCAATTTATAGGTGGGTCTGTTTGGGTCTCTCTGTTCCACTGATGTTTTCTATGTTTGAACACCTATTTACATTATGGACCATTTGTAATGTATTTTGACATTTTGTAGGAAAAACACTTTCTCATTTTGCTCTTATAAACAAAAAGTTGGCAAGTCTTATTTTTCTTTTTTGATGACTTTTAGAATCAATTGCCACCTTCCCAAGTCTTTTCAGAATTTGATTGTACTTGCATTATATTTATGCTTTAATTTAGGGGGAGGTGGAGAATTAGGTTTTTAGTGTTTTAAATCTTCCCCAAAAGGAACATGATTATGCTTCTTCAATATTTGGTCCTTTGTTATGTCCTTTACTAAGGTTTTATAATTTTACTTCACAATGGTTTTATACCTTTCTTGTTTAATTTACTCCTAGATGTATAAAACTTGTTTGTTTTTATGAATTGAGTCACTAATCCCCACTTTTTCTACTAGGTTATTCGTACGGTAGGTAGTGGGAGAGGTAGTTAGTTTTATTTATATTGTACCCATTTACCTTACTGAACTCTATGTTTTCTAATAATTTTTCAGTTGACTTTCTTGATTATTTCAGTAAACTGTCTACCAATAATTACCTCATTATTTGGATAATTTTCATTTTACTTTTTATTTCATTTCTGGTTTTATTAATGTTGACTCGACTTTTCAGAATATACTTAAATATTAAAAGAATGTAGTAAGCTCCTTTGTCTAGTTTCTGATTTTAATGAGAATATCTCTAGTGTTTTATTATTAAATATGATGTGTAATATTTGTTTTTTATAGATCCCTCTTATAAATTTAAAAACACTTTCCTAAATTCATAGTTAAGAGTTTTCTTTTAAACTGATTGATGTTGGAATTTGGAAATTGTTTAAGGCATCTGTTTGAGATGCTGAACAGATTTCTCCGTAATCCTTGGACTGTAAAGATCATTGTTTGTTTGTTTGTTTTTTGCAAATCATTGTAAACACTATTCCTGTATATACTTCTTTGTACACAGTTTAGTTTATCAAAAATAGATATGGGTGTTGGCATCTATGTTCATAGGTAAATTGATCTATAGTTTCTTTTTTTATATTTGTCAGTTTTTGATATTCAGATTATACTAGCTTTGTATATCCCCTTTTTTCAGGCTTTGGAGCAGTTTAGATATCATAGAAATCATCTGGTCCTTGAAGATTTGACATAGCAGCACAGCTCTAAAACAGTGTGGGCCTGATTCCTTTATTGGGTACAGATCTTGGGCAACCTTTTCAGTTCTGTAGTTTTTCTGGGTTTCTGCAGTTTTTATAACTCTTAAAGCAATTTTGGTAATACATATTTTCCTAGATGATTATCTGTTTGGAGAATTATGTGACTTGTTTTATGTCACAATTAGTAAATGGTATACCTAGCTTTCTGAATCTTAGTCTGGTCAACTTTTCCTTAGATCTAACTGCCTCCAGAGTATATTGTATGTTTGTATGTTTCCTATCTTCTAATGTATACAAATGGTTATATCACAATAAAGTTTGTAAGGAGTTACAAATTTAGAATATGATTTGGAAAAGTTGAAAAAGTCTAGGTTGATCTCATTTGGATCTTTAGAACTGAAGATTTCAAAAGAGAGAGGGACTTAAACTAGTCTTATTGAATTGGTCATCTGTAGATAGATGAGGAATGAACAAGAAAGGGCATCCTGCATCCAGAGAACTTAAGGAAAAAAAACGCTTGTGCATCTGTGTGGGGTCGAGCCTCACCTAGGTGGAAGGAGGTCTTTGTTGAAGAGGAACAGGAAATAAGACTGAATAGGTAACATATAGAGTCTGATTAGTAGGACCTTGTTAAAGGTCTGGTGAAAAAGAAGTTAAAAAATTAAATGCAAAGCAGTAGCATCACCTAATGACCAGTATTACATTTCGTTTTGTAAATGTGTGGTGGTTTTATTGCAGTATCTGTGACAGGTGACTTAAATAATTACCTTCATAGGCAGCCACAAGGTATGGAAAGGACAAACGTAGTTCTAGAAGAGGATTCTGAGGGAATAGTATGAGTCAGATTTAACAACTCAACAATGTTAACTTCTGTCAGAACAATAGATAGTGTAGACCTCTGCTAAATATACCAGCATAAAACATCTGTTTAAAATTTGAAGAACTAGATATGATTGCAGTATATCTTGAAAACTTCTTAAGAAGAAAGTTCATAAATAAAAAAATATTGAGAAATGAATTTATGTTGATAAAAAGTGTTGTTTTTTTTTTACTCCTCGAAATTTAGACATGCCTTTCTACCTCTGCTGGTTTGAATACTTACAGAATGTAACCTTGTGAATTTACTTGTGAAAATTAGGAGAATCTTAAATAGAGCAAAATCAAGGGATAAACATAATCTTAGAGTGAAAGAGGATATATTTTCCAGCTCTCTAATAGAAATCTATTTGCTATTTATAAAAACACCACCGCCACTGTTTTGAAAGTAGGTGGGAAAATGGATAACCATTTAGTGTAATTCCTTATCTCTAAACCTACAATACTATTTTAAGAGACTCAATACAAATTTATTTTGTTTCGGTCATACTAATTTTCACCAAAAGCATGATGCCTGAAATATTTGAATATTCAAAAAATTTTGTAATAGCCTATGACAATCATTGTAAGGGCCATAATAACGAAGAACAATTATTGATTATTTTTATTTTACGTTTATTCTCAAATTCAGTCTGGTTTGGTTATTAAATGAATATGTGCCTTATTTTTCAAATTGGGAAAATAAGAATATTTCAGAGAGTTCTAAGCAAAGCTTATGTGTGCTAATTAGGTATGCAGCACGTGAGCCTTGATAACCTTATGTGTCAAAATATAGTTAATTTTCATGGCCGTTGTTAACCAAAGCAGTAAGACTTAAGAATGACATGTATATCCTAAAAAAAAAAGTTGGAATAATTTATTTTAGCTGTAAAGTAATTTTGTTACTCTATTTATAATGCTAAACTATATAGACTTATTAGCCTTCCTTTTAATGAAATATAAGAGTATATAACTAGATTATTTCATTTAATGTTTGTTAGTTACATTCTCTTTCTTTTATAAAATACAGCCACATAGGTGTATTTGGATGGCCAATAATTACTTAAGAAAGGCATGCATTTTTTAAAGAAACGCTTTCCAATAGAATGGATTTTTTGTAATATATTTTGCATGTGGTCCCAAAGTGTTTTATGGTTAATAGAATTTGAATTTAGATATAAGTCTAATATAAATGAATTTTTTTTAAAGTATTATCTTTAATCATGTGGGCTTCTTGTACACAGCGGTATTTGATGTATAACTCTCTATATATTTCTATGTGAACAAATATTTTCCAAATCATTTGCTCATGTGTGGAAATATGTATTAGTATTTATTATTTCCCATTATAATTAGTTGTAAATTCTGAGGTGTTTCTGTTTATAAAGAAAAAGTAAGCTCAAGCATTAAGGTAGTAATAGTGGTAATATTCATTAATAATTATTACACTAATAACATGCAAATATTTTTGAAGCAACAGGGAATTCATCCTGTGGTAACTACAATCTCAGGGTTTTCTTTTTCATCCCTTATTCCTGGGCTATTCAGCTAAAAGTTAACTGTAGTAGTATTATGCACTCAAGAGCCAGCCATTTTCTTTCAGATAGGAGTATTCTAGGGAGCTGTATTTCAGCCCTGGAATTGGAATGTTAGAGATAGACATCAGACTGACACTGGAAAGCGTCTGATAGGAGGTACTTAGAATCTCAGTCTTAGGATGCCTCTGAGCAGACTTTGACCAGACTCTGATAAGTTTTACGCAACTTCGCCTGGTGAGCTTCTATGTATCGTTCAGTTTACCACTTCTCTGTGTGGAAACAAAAAGATCATTTATACAGTGAAGGGGTAAGGAGGGCATGTGTGGTTAGCTTTTAGAAATTCTTTTCAACTGTGGAACATGAGACAGTATTCTTGGGTGCACTACCTTGTTTGTAATACATTAAAAGGAAAAAGGCGCGTTTGAATGCAAGAATAATTCAAGTTATCATATTGAAGGATTTTAATCATTATAATTAACCAAAATTGACATTTTGTTGCATTTTCTAGGCAATTAAGTTGGAGTATTCAAGATTGGTTAAATTGAGCCAAGAAGACACCCCACCAGAAACAGATTATCGTTTACATCATGTAGTGGTCTATTTTATCCAGAACGAGGCACCAAAGAAAATCATTGAGAAAACTTTGCTAGAACAATTTGGAGATAGAAATTTAAGTTTTGATGAAAGGTAATTTGAAAATGTGAATGTGATTTGTATGCTCAAGTTGTCCTTGTCTTTTTATAGCTCCCAATACAATTTTTGACTGTTCATTTTACGTATATACAAAGATATAATTTCAATAAATACAGCACAAAATTTGACTTCACTTAATTTGAGCAGTTGCTGTCTAATTCCTCTGGAATTTATAGTCATGACCTTTAAAAGTTTGACTGCAAATAATTTAGACTGTTTTAGTACGTTTTAATTGCAAGCCAAGGTGCTGAGCTAAGCAATATAAGGATACACAGAAGAGTATAATATAATCACTGTCATTTAAAAGGGGCTCAGTATTTTACAGAAATAAAGAATTTCTCAATCTCTGCACTATGGATATTTGGGGGTGAGATAATTCTTTGTTGTGGGGGCTGTCCTGCAATTTGTAGGGTATTTAGCAGTGTTCTTGATCTCTACCCTGTAAATGCCGGTAGCACTCCCCCAAGTGATAACAACCCAGAATGTCTCCAGATATTGCCAAAATTCCCTTGGAGCAAAACCACCTATGTTTGAGAATCACTGGAGAAAAATATTTAATCATATGTACAAATGAAGTAATTAAACATCTTCTGACATAAAGAGAAGCCTTAGAATGTTGAAATTAATTGTGGTTTACCCAAAAATGTTTTCTTTTAGAAACTCCTATAAAACTATTTACTAATGTTAAAAATTAAAATTAAATCTAGTTAGTATACGGTTAAGAAAATTAGACCTGAGGTAAAGATCCAAAGTATTAAGAGTTATTTTAGAATACAGAAACGTTTATTTTATCTTGGAGTTCACTGTAGTCACATTTTAATTCTGAAGTAAATGATTATCCTTATATGAATGTCTTAAAAATGCTGAGTTAAAAATATGTGTAGTGGAAGAGAATATGGGGAAAAACAAAGCATGTAAGAATAATTCCTGCCTCACTGTGTATCTGCTGTGAAGTTTAGGATTAAGTGAAATAATGCAAGTAGATAGTTTTGAGTAAGATCTAGTAGACAGGAAAAGCTCAGTGAATGTTGGCTATTGCTGTTTTCACTATTAGTAGTATGGGCATCACTTATTTTGTTACATTTAACTACAGGGAGCTCAAAAATGTGACAGATTATGACCCTCATTATCTGGGTTGTCAGTGCACTATATTCCAATGAATATATGCTGTTGAACTTGGGGAAGATATTTATGGAGTTATCACATTGACTTTTCAAAGTCTTGCAATTATTTGTTCTAGGGACTGCAAATAGTCAATTTATTTTGATAACCTAATTTCTCTTATACTTAAAAGACAGCTTAAGATACATGTGGTAACTAAATATATTTTGTGTGGATTTCTTTAGTAATGGTTCTGATCATAAATCCATTAGAATGTTTCCTTTCTTACCTAAATTGACGGCACATATTGGAGTCCTTTTTACTATTTATGAATAATGCCTTTGGGGGAAAATAAGATTTCATGTCTCTTGAGCTTGCTTATGGATATATATTTTTAAAAATTTTCATTTTTTTACTTATGCGGTTGTTATTATTAGAATATAATTTAAAAGCCATATGTAAATATAACATGGCAAATTTGAATTAGAATTATCGATGCTTTCTTCTTTATATACTTTGTAACTATCGAACATTGGTCCAATAAGCACACTTTTCACTTAAGGTTATTTAGGAGCTATCTCTTCAAAAAAGTATGTATTGCTCAGTGACAGTGAACTTCATTGTCATAAGTGTTGGATAGTTTAGCTTTATGCCACATACATTTTTAAGTTTTGATGGATTTTGCTTTTGATTTAGGAATAATACATTTCTTTTATTTGAAGGTGTCACAACATAATGAAAGTTGCTCAAGCCAAACTTGAAATGATCAAACCTGAAGAAGTAAACTTGGAGGAATATGAGGTAATGTGCCTTTTGAGAGAGTGAACTGTAGACTGAGGAATTCTGTAGTTCACTGATCTTACTTTCATTTCAGCTCAGCTGTGCACATGAGAAAATGAGGCATAGAGGGGTGGAGTCACCTGCCCAAAGTGTTCACAGCCAGCAGGTTACAACTTGGTTAACAGAGCCTGCGTTCTTAAATGCCATAGTACACTGAAGCCAGGCTCTATTTTTTCTTTGTTTGCTTCATCAGATATTTTGGGGGGAAATTAAAAATTTGTTTTAATCATTGTATGCCGTGTGTATTTGTCATTATTGGACAGTGTTGTGGTGTGAGAGAGAGCATACATATGAACACTCATGCTCGTGGTGATTTTTTTGCATAGAATTCTCTTTGTGTTAACTTTGGCTTTAAAATTAATGTTTTTTTAAAAATTTGTGGATTCAAATACCTAATATTTCTTCTAACTTTTAAATTTAACTTTACACATTATCTTTTTGAATTTATAAATCTAGTAAATTTTTAGTTGATTTCATGAATGCCTTTGATTAATGTTTGGTCCCATTTACAAGCTTAATTACTTTAGATTTCCTTAAACAATTATTGTAATTCACCACATTAATAAATAAGAAAGGTACAGAAAACACTCATTTTTGATGCAAACCCTTAGCTAGCCTGGAATACAAGGTAGCTACCTTAATCTGCCGAAGAGTGTCTCAACAACAAAACTATAGCAAATACATAGAATTGTAAATATTGAAAGCTTTCCTTTTGTGATCAGGAAAAAGACAGGGACGTCTTCTATTCAGAATTGTACTGGAAGTTCAAGTGGGACAGTAAGATAACAAAAATAAGCAAAAACTAAAGATTGGAAAAGAAGTAATAAAGTTATCATTATTTGCAGATTTTATACCTAGAAAATACAAACAAAATCTACAGATAAATTTATTAAAACCAATGAGAGCTTTGCAACATGCAAACCTATGTCAAATATCAATTTTATTCCATTATGCCAGTAACAATCAGAAAATTAAATTTTAAAATAACGACACCATTTACAGTAGCATCCAAAACTATGGAGTACCTAGAAATAAATTTAACAAAAGACGAGCATGACTTTAGGAGACATTAAAGAAGAGCTAAATAAATGGATATACATATCATGTTTGGAAAACTTGGTGTTGTAAAGATGCCAGTTTTCCCCAAAATGGTTTATTGATTCGGTGCAGTCCTGTCAAACTACTAACAAGTTGTTTTATGGAACTTGATAAGCTGATTCAAAAATTTTATGGAAATGCAAACATCTCAGTCTAGCCCAGACATTCTTGAAGAAGAACAAGATAGAAAGCCCTATTCTACTAGAAGTCAAGACATACAATCTTAACTATTATGCTTCATAATAATATTAGCATAAGAATAGGTAAATTAGAATAGAAAATCTAGGAACATATCTACAAATAAATGGACACATGACATGTGCCAGGGATGGCAAGTTAATTGTGTACCCACTCTACCCCTGTCGCCAAGATTCAGGTTTCGTGGGACTTGATTTTTAATTATGATTTGATTCTTCAATCTTTCCCCAAAGGTGCTTCATTAGGTTGGATTCACCCTCTTTTTATTCTGAAAACTTGTCATGCTCTAACTGCAGAGCCATTAAATCTACAGGGATTTACATGTTTTTGGATTCTGTATATCCTGCATATCTTTGCCTTGCTCTAAGTCAGAGGTCGGCAACTTTGGCCCATAGACCAAATCCAACTCGCCACCTGTTTTAATAAATAAAATTTTATTGGAACACAGCCATTTGTTTACATATTGTGTATGAGTGTTTTTACACTACAGAGAGCTGAGTGATTAAAACAGAGACTGCATGGCCTCCAAAGCCTAAAACATTTACTGTCTAGTCCAGTAAAGTAAAAGTTTACCTTCTCACAACTTCTAAGGCAATTGGAATGACAAGAGAGTGGCAATTTGAGTACTTGACCCAGGGAAGCTAACTTTATACTTGCAAGACAAATTTTACCTTCATGTGTTACTGAGGCTTACTAATAGTGTGAAAAGTATTCCTCAAAAAATTAAAATTAAAAATTAAAAAATTAAAATGTTTTGTATTCGAGGAGGTTGGCCAGTAACAGGTCTATATGTTATTTACTTTCATTTCCTTATAATAATGTGTATGTAAAAGCTTTAACACTTCTTATGAGTGTCTCTTTCAGGTTAATCCTTTATTGAATTTTAGTTATGATTTTCCTTGAATCAATTTTTATTAAATACGTTAAGAAAAATTTTGATTTTGTTATTTTCTGGAGTTATAGGATGTCAGTTCTGCATTGTTTTAGCCCTGTTAACGTGCCCTATAATTGGCTTTTGTGGAGGGAGAGGCAGGTGAAATGTGAAATGCTTCTATCTTTTCACCTTATGTCAGGTTAATAAACTATTCAGCTGCCACATTTAAAATCAAATTTAGCAAAATTAAAAGGTCAAATAAATTTATTATGATATAACATTTTTCTTTTAGTTCCTTAAAAAATTCTGCATCAGATAAGTCTTCCAAGTTGATTCATATTAGTGTAGTAACTCCATTTACCTCCTACATTCAATGTGATGTAGATCTCTAATGATATTTTAATCATATGCTTTTATACCGAAGAATTTTTGAAAGAGAGGTAACCTGGTTGATTATCGTGACTTTGTATTTCTGTTGTCTTCTAGTGAGATCTTTGTTATTTAATTCCTCACCAATGTCTAATAAGTTTTATGTCTATTATTATACTAATAAATAGTCTCGTTTGTCAGAAATTAGTCTTGATTTAGGTCTAATTTGTCTTAATTTTGAGCTCTTTTCTTCTTTTCGAATAGTTATCAGAGCCATGTATTACTTTATAAACGGTTTTAAATCTTACTCTGCATACTTGTGATACTTCTCTCACCTGCAGGAGTGGCATCAGGATTACAGGAAGTTCAGGGAGACGACCATGTATCTCATAATTGGGCTGGAATATTTTCAAGGAGAAAGGTAAGCCAGCATGGACAAATATGAAAAGAGCTTAATTTTTGTACTTAATTGTATTTAGATATGATCTCATCTGTAGAAAAGATTTTATTCACAGTGTATATTTTTTAAAAACTTATTTTAGTAAAGTTGTAGATTTACAGAGAAATTGCAAAGTTCATGCAGAGAGTTCCCATATACCCCACATGCAATGTATTTTCCATTTTAAATTAAATCTGTAGAGTTGACATTAGTGTCTGTTTTTATAGCTCTCAAACACTACAGTTGAAGCTTAGGATGAAATGGTATTAGATTGAAACCTGGATGTTTGCTGGGGACCAAAGAAGCTGTTAGCCCAGCACATGGAAGTCTTTGTATTCCCCACCGTCTGCTTTCAGTCACCAGCCTTTTTCATACTCTTTCTGAGTCTAATCTTGGCTTCAGATCAGATAGTCCATTCTGTCTCTCTGTCCAAAGTTCCAGTTACTACAAAAAATATAGCTGTAGAAGACTGATCACGTCTTTTAAGTATTCTGACTGCAAACACATTTTAGGTTATTTTTTATTTAAATTACAGATATTTTTAAAAGTTTTAAAGGAATTTCTGCTTATTAAACTATAATATTGTTACTTTATTGATATTTAGTATTTTTTGTTGTTAAGACTGTAATTTACCATTACAGATTATTCACTAGTTTGCATTTACTTATTATTCACATATTTCTTAATTCATATCCTTTAGCATTAATTTACTTAACTAGTGATTTTGGGGTTTTTTTGGAAAGTACTGTATTTCAAATATACTGTAATATTGCAGTCAGGTAAAAGAGATAGGAATTTTTTTTCTTTTCTTTTCTTTTTTCTTTCGTGTTTTTTTGTTATAAAGTGTAAGAAACCTCCACTGAGGTAATAATGCTATGTTTTTTTTTTTTAATGACTATATGTACTACTACTCCTAGAGCTATATTGTCCAACATGGTGGCCATCAACCACATGTGACAATTTAAATTTAAATTAGTTAAAAATTTTAAAACTAAAAACTTAGTTTCTCAGTCACACTAGCCACGTTAAGACTGTTCAGTAGCCACATGTGGCTAGTGGCCAACACAGATAGAACACTTGCATCATTGCAGCAAGTTCTGTTTGGATACTGCTGCTCTGTTCATTGGACAGTGCACAATGCCATCATTTTTACACTTATCAAAATTTTAACTTTATCACACAAATTAAAAGTAATGTTATTACTTGGATACAAATTATTAAAGTCCTAGTCATTCTGTAATCTATAAGATAATTCACTTTGGTCACTGAAATAGAAAACTGTTTTAATCAGTAGCTCCATTTATGAGTTATTGTTTTGGTCAAACTTTTGTTTCTTTAATAGGAATATTCAAATTCACTTTAGGATATCCAAGATTATTTTTTCTGAGAAAAATATTAATATGATCTGACAATTAAACAGAATGTCTAAGATCAAAAAGGCATTTCCATTTTATAGATAAAGAAACTAAGCATCTATAGACATGCAATAACTTTGTGAAAGTCACACAACTAACTAGGGAGGAAAATTTAAAGGGAGACCTCTGTATTGTATAATTGAATGAAATCAGGTAATTACAAAAAGCATTCACTTATCTCAATAAAAATTAAAAAGATGAAACCGTCACTTTCTTGCTCTCTGCACTCCTTCTGCATGAGCTTTTCCTAGTTAACATTTGTTGAAGGACTTTAAGACATAACTTGGAAGTAAGATTAAATTTCATAATTTGCTTATTATCAAATATACTTGTTTGGAATGGGAACATTCTAATATAGCAAATGTTTATTAAATTGGAAAAATCAACTAGAAAATTAGTAATGGTGACAATATTTATGGAATATTGTAAAAAGAAGTGTTGTTATACTTTAAATATAGCAGTTAGCATAGCTAGCAGCATAGAAAATATTGCCAAAAGGTTCTGCCAAACTTGTTTTTAATGAGAACATAACACTTGAAAGCCTTGAATAGAATATTTATTGATGGGCCGTTGTCAAGTCTGTGAGTAGTGACATGAAATCATGCTTTAAGGAACCATGATTTTACAGTAGTGTAAGTGAAGATAGTCTTCCCAGACGTACATGGTCTTATTTTATCTTAAGTAAGAAAGTGGTAACAGGAATGCTGAGTCTTATTCTGAGTTCTGTGAAAATATGTTTGTAAGCACATTTAAGGTTGACAAATATGGAACATTTTGTGTACCTTGGTAGATGATTGGGACGAAGTCCTGGTTTCAGAGCTGTTTTCAGAGAGGCGACTCAGGGCCAGAAGGGCAGGCACAAAGGGCATTCGGGAAAGCTCTTCTAACAGGAACCTCAATCGCTGTAAGAGAAGGTGTAGACGTGCCAGCAGACTGCCTGACTGAGTAGCAGAAAACAACATGTAACATTATTTTCACACCCTACATTTTTTTTCCTTCATAAATAAAACAATCCTTAGCTGAGATTATGCATTATTATTTCAAAATAAAATTTCATGCTCTTAAGTTTTCTCAAAAACAAATTCCTGGCAGAAGCCATTTTTTAAAATGTTGACAATTTATTTTTCATGAAATAGTTTCAGGTGTGTAGTTTGATTTGTCACAAATGTGTACATTAAGTTCCTATAATTCTGTAGTTAACATTTGGAGTAGAAAAGTGATTTATATCTGAGGACATGAAATTAAATAACAAACAGTAACACTGATTGGCAGGGTAACCTAGAGTTTTAAAATACTGTTTCTTTACAACAGTTTACCTTTAGGAAGTTACATTTTTCTGAATTAATCTATGAGAAGATATAATTGGAAAAACTGACACAAAGGAGATATCTTAAAATATCTTTTATATTTGTTATACAAATATGTAGCTGTATATATTTTTTATGACAGCATGTTAGGAGAAGGATAAGTATTCTAAAGGCAAATATAACACTCAGACATTTTTCCCCTCCTCCCGCTTTAAAGCCTAGTTTGAACTTCATAACGTCTGGACTTATATTAATATAGCTTGTTAATATTACTTATATTCCATATAAAACAAAGGCCTACCCCTGTGAGCCTTCTGTGTTAGTGTTTTCTTCTGTGTGTTTGTGTCTCACCGGATTTCCCAGGTTGAAGAGCATTCTTTCCCCTTCTCCTCCTGTCTCCTCTGGGTATTCTCCCCTTTGTCTGTTACATTGTTCTCGGTGACTAGAACTGAGCCTGCACATAGAAAAAACCTGACTAAATGGTCACCAAATTACCCAAATGGTGTTTGTGATAAAGAAGCAAGTTAACCTAATCTTTTCTTCAAACAAAAATGACGTTATATTGTTAAAAAAGTAGATTATTGACCTTCACATCAGTCTTAATTTTGAGTCTAGAAGGAAGACATCAGGAAAATAAATATCAAAGAAAAGAGAAGGAACTATTTGAATTCATCAATTAGGGCCTTTTTCTCCCTGTCTTTTCTTAATTCCTGGCTCCATTTTTTTGTTTGTTTGTTTTTTTCTTTTAAGACTGGTCTCAGATGCAGCTGTTGCTAAAGAATACTCTCAGGCATATAGCGCATCAGACGGTATTTTTTATTGTAATGTTGTTCTGGATAATCAAAATTTAAACCTATACTTAAAATGTTTTATAATTGTAGTTGACTTTTTTCTTACGAAGATGAAATACTAACGCTTCGTATTTCTCAATTTTTAAGGTATATAGATTCCTTGCTGTTCCTTATCTATGCTTATCAGAATAACAAAGAACTCTTGTCCAAAGGCCAATACAGAGGACATGATGAAGAATTATTATCACATTATAGAAGAGAATGTTTACTAGTAAGTTTAATGTACACAGTATGTGCTTGCTTTGTCATTTTGTCTTAAATTGGGCAAATTTTCCAGACTCATATATAAGTGATTGACTCTAAATTCTGGTGGGGTAAGTGTCATGATGATGTCTCTAATTTGGATCTGTTCCCTTAAGATGGGAGAATACACTCAATTCTTTATCCCCTTCTTTATGGATCCTAGTATTGCAGATGATAAACCAGAAATGTTCTTGAGATGGGATCAGAATGATTATATTTTTATATTTAGATTTCTTCTTCGTTCTACCATTCCCTTTTTTGATAGGAGAGGAGAAGCTGCACAAAGCATGGAGAATTATCATTATTATTCCAGAAAAATGATAGATTTTTCTGAGTTTTTATAAACAGCAGTGTATTTGGTGTACATAATGTCAAAGGATTCATTGAAATACAGTATCCTTTTTTTCACCTAATCATTGGTATTTTTTTTCCTCAAATATTTTCACTGTCTATGTGCTGAAATAGTACTATTGTTATAAACTTTAACAAATCTACTTAGCAGTTTTTTTTTGCACCAGTTTACTCTCTAGATGTCTGGAGTATTTTGTTAGTGTTCCTTGAGTCAGCTAACTTTTATGTATAAAAATCACAGCTTCGGTCTTTATACTACTTTTTTCTGATTAGATCTCATTCTTAGGTAACTGTTAAAATCACTCTATTCTACATTGTGAACTCCTAAGTTGCGATTTTTTTTCATTAAAAAAATAGAGACATATATTTAAGAGTGTATGATTTTTGAAACTATATAAGTTACCTGGTTTAAGTGTACTTTAAGTGGGTATGCTGGTGAAATGTTTTCTTTCAATAAGACTATATAGTATGTGCTAACTGTAGTCTATAATACGTCTTTAAAATTTTTAAATGGGAATATTAGGTGGTTGTGAGCTTATTTTTTTCTCATCTGATTTTACTGCATTTGAGTGTGTCAACTTCAAAAGCAAATTTGCCAGTTATTTTATCTCAAAATTAGTTTATTTGGGAATAGCCAAAAGAATTACAATTTGGGATTTGCGTGCTATGGCAAACCATAGGCAAATTCAACAAACAAAGCAGGGGAGCTGTCTTTATAGAGAGAAAGGGAGGATAGGGAGGGGCTGTTCTAAACGAAAGTCTGTTCGGGGAAAGTAACAGTTCAGAGCAGCGACAGCTTCTCATTGGCTGAGCTGTGGCATTTCTCATTGGCTGGGCTCTTGCTAGTGGGGAGAGAAATATTCTTTCAGTAGTAAAGTAGTTTTACTTCCTGCCAAGACCCCAGCCTCCCTCTCTACCTGGTTGGTGTAATTGACAATATATGAAAGGGTGTGAGAGCTCCCCCTAGGGGCCTTCTCGACTCCAATTCAGTTAAGAATTTTTTTATTAGTTTCCAAGAGTGTATTTTAAAACTTTAATTGTTGGTGGTTTGTTTCCATCGAGGGTGGCATTCTTAATTTGGCCAATTTCAAAAGGTTTTTAATCAACTACCGAGAAGGAAGACCTGAATTATATATATTTCAGCCTAAAAAAATGTGAAGTTTTATATAAACATATAAAATCTTACATTGAATGAATTAAAGCAATTTTTAACCTAAAAGCATTGAAGGCTTGGGATATGGAAATATTTTGGTAAAGCTGTTTTAAACATAAATGCAACGAAAGCTTGATGGTTACTTTAAAATTTTAAAAAATAGTAGGCAGTTTCTCTTACTATTTTTTTATACTAAACCAGCGACACGTAGTTTGTTGTTTTACACAAGGATTTAAATGAAACCTCTTGAGGATTATTGTAGTGTTCCTTTCAGTTTTTTTCATATTCAGTATTTACTGAGTGTCAGATTCTAAGGGATACAAAGATATGTAAGACCCATTTCATATACTCAGAGAACTCAATATGGTGGGAGATGTACACAAATAACTTTTATATTCATAATAAGTGTCATTATGAGAAATATGCAAAATAATATTCCTGGAATTGTTGGGGAGAACCTTAAGAGATAAGATGAACACTGATCTGGATCTTGATGGATAAATAGGAATTTTATGCCTTATAGAGAAGAGAGAAGAACATTCCAGTCAAAGGGACACCATATGAAAAGGCAAGGAAAGTATGTGACAGGAAATGAAGATAAATGCATGTGACTATGTTATGAGGAGCAAGGGTAGGTGGAAGTGATGAAGCTGACAATACTTGTTGATGTCAGACTCTGAAGAAGCTTATGTGCCATTCTCATGAGTTTGCACCATTGTAAATTTGATTAGATTTGACATGATCAAGTTTTCAGAAAATAATTCTAGCATTAGTATACTAGAAGATGGACTGGAAAGGAGTAGAGACTGAAGTCGAGCACCCTAGAGGAGACAGACAAGGGAACGAGGATGAGAGCCTCCACTGAGGCAGAGGTACAATGAGTATGAAGAAGAAGATATAGAGGATGCTGAGGGAAATGAAGTCGAGGGACTTGGTAGCTGTTGGATGAGCGGAAAGAAGGAAACAGAGTCATCAAATCTGCCTGACATTCTAGTTTTGTGTTTGGCTTTAGGGACTCTAAAAAGAGGATGACTAAGGTTGGCTTTGGATGTACTATATTTAAGTTGATTTCAGGACAGGTTTTGATTCAGTGAACTTAACATTAAATTTCTTAATAAGAATAGCAGTTAATATGTCTTCGAATGCGTATTGTGAGAATTATACTAGATACTGAAATATGGCTTAATCCTCTAACTACTGTGTAAGGAAGGTAATGGTATCCCATTTTTCATATAAAAAAATTGAAGCTAAGAGATTATTTGCCCAAAATTAGATAATTTCTTAGTGACTAGTTGGACTTTGAGCATAAGCCTCTCTACAAAGTCAAGATAAATTGCACAAGAATGATTCAATATAAATATAAGAAAGAATATAATTTTTGTATTTGAAATACGGCTTAAAACTGATTTAGTTTTAAAAAATAAAAATTCATATTTATCATGCTATAAATGTAAGATTTCAGACATAAACTCTTAAATAATATAGCCCTTATTATACCTGTGTTCGTTATCTATCTCTTTTATCTATATTTCTTATCTCGTGGATTTCTCTCTTCTACTAGATCAGGGGTCAGTACACTTGGCTTCTGCTGCTCTGCCTATCACTTGTTTTTGTAAATAAAGTTTTATTACAACATAACCATCCCCATTCATTTACATGTTATATATGGCTGCCTTTGTGCAACAATGACAGAGTTAAGTAGTTGCAATGGAAACTATAATGGCCCTCAAAGCCTAAAATATTTCCTATCTTGTCCTTTACAGAAAAAGTTTGCCGATCCCTGTACCAAATTGTAAGCTCCATGAGAATTTTTTGTATTAATTACCTGGGTACCCGTGCCTCTAGAATAGTTGCTGGCCCATGGCATGTACTCAGAATTTTTTGAAGAAATAAATGAATTAATTGATTACTTTTATATTTTTGTATCAAGAAATACGACAGTACTTATTCAGTTGACATTTAGGGAGATGCTGATGAAGAGTTTTTCAAAATTACTATGGAGTATGAATTTCTTTACTTTTAAAATCACTTTGAGTGTTTATCAAATTTTAGAACTAGGGGAGGTTCACCCCTCGAGAATAAATAAAAAGTGACTCCTTTAGGGATGATCAAAGTAATATAAGCTGAACATGAACTTTACAAACATGACAACATTTCCCCACTTTCATTGCTTTTGTTTCTCTTGCTTTGTGCATAGCTTTTTCTAAGAAACTTTCTGTGCTAGAATAGCTGAGATTGCTTTTCCTGATTGTCATTTGTTCTGGTACTGTTTGTGAACATACATATTATGTTGTCTTCAGTATCAACACTTACAAGTGTTCTTATTTAATTAAAAAAGAAAACAAACTTGTTCTTTTTCTCATTGCATCGAGAAATTAAATGAGCAAGCTGCAGAACTGTTTGAATCTGGAGAGGATCGAGAGGTGAATAATGGTCTGATTATCATGAATGAGCTTATTGTCCCAGTGTTGCCCTTGTTATTGGTGGATGAAATGGAAGAGAAAGATATACTCGCTGTGGAAGATATGCGAAATCGATGGTGTTCCTATCTTGGACAGGAAATGGAATGTAAGTTTAAACAATGATAGTAGACACCTGAGTTATTGGGATTAAAAGTAGTTTAAAATTAGGTGTTATTAATTCTAATCATTTTTATATTCTGTAATATTTTTACATTCACATCATTACTTGTTTTTCTTATTTACAAACGAAGTTGTGCACGCTGCCGTTGCCATTTATATTTTCCTCTTCCCCCTAAATGGTAATTACTTTACATATTTTGAAATGAAACATCAACTGACCACTCCAAGTTAATAAATCATTTTGAAGATGGTGATTATGCTCCCTCTCTCTCCATCTCAGTTACATCTGATTGTTTGTATTTGCAGCAAACCTCCAAGAGAAGCTGACAGATTTTCTGCCCAAACTGCTTGATTGTTCTACGGAGATTAAAGGTTTCCATGAGCCTCCGAAGTTACCTTCCTATTCCACGCATGAACTCTGTGAGCGATTTGCCCGAATCATGTTGTCCCTCAGTCGAACTCCTGCTGATGGAAGATAAACTGCACACACACTTCCCCTAAACACACTGTATAAACATTTTTTAGTTCTTAACCCTTGCCTTCCTGTCACAGGGTTTGCTTGTTGCTGCTATAGTTTTTAACTTTTTTTATTTTAATAACTGCAGAAGACAAAATGACTATACAGACTTTAGCCAGACTGCAAACAATAAAGCTGAGAATCGCATGGCGCTCAGACTTTGTTTTACCCAGAACTGATGTATAATTACAAATCTGATTGATCTTATTATGGCAAAACCATGCTTTTGCCACCTTTCTGTTACAGTATTACCTTGCTTTTATCTTTTCTTTATCTACAGCTTTCCATTCAGTCTGGATCCTTCCACGACTACAGCCATTTAAGTGTTCAGCACTGTGTACGATACATAATTTGGTAGCTTGTAAATGAAATGAAAGAATAAAGTTTTATTTATGGCTACCTACGTGTTTGTAAGCAGGTATATTGTATGCTAGTATATTATTTTAGTTATAAATGAATTTTGTCTGGGGATTGTTTAAGATTGGGTGATGAGTAGATTAATACAGACTTTTCATTTTGCTTTAATGTTAGCACATTGGAAATTTACTAAGTATTCGACACTTAAATATATCTATATTTTTGACTAAGTTGTTAAACTTAGTATGGCACCTAAACCTGTTTTGTGTTCAAATCAGGTTTTCACTGAAGTGAGCGGCTGATATTTAAGTCAACCACACTGAAACTTTTAACCTTTTCTTAGATTAATCTTTTATTTTTTTATGTATTTACAGATAATATAGCAAGGTGATTATTTTAAGAGATACTAGAAAAAAGTACTTGAATAAGGGCTATTTAATAGTGAAACTTATAAGAAACATATATATGTATATATACACAAACATACACACACGTGTACACACACACATATTCTTTATAATGGAGGACAATGTTTTGCATTATATAATCATTCTATTTTTGTAAGTTGTATACCACTTTAATTGAAAATGTTCTCTACTAATCAATGCTGTGAAATGAAGTTGATATTGTTGAACTAGAGGTTCCAAGAGTACCTTACCTGCTTTTCATAAAGGGAAAAGCTGTAGAACATTTTGTAGATGGAACTGCTGTTTAAGATTAATGAAGTAATATTGTGAATGAAAATCAGTGCTTTAAAGCTAATCATGTTACCAACAGCCTATTTTTGAATTTATAAAAGTTTCTTTATAAATGATACTTTGTTAGCATAGTAAAATATATCATTATATTATGCGTATGTTTTGTTATAGCGTCGCCAAAACTAGTGCTCTTTATAAGTGCCTCTCACAAAAGATCCTGGATGGATGAGGAAGAAGAAAATATTAAGCTATTATATAATGCTCCTTATAAAGGTATCAGTGTACTGCGGAGGTATTATTGACAAGGAATTGATACTATTTCTTTTGTAAAGTTAGATTTTTGCATAATATAGCTGTCAAAATGTGTTCTGGTTTATATTTTAAATTCTCCCCTGAGTAGAATTAGTATTTTGCATTGGTTTTCAACTTCTGTCAAAAATTTTAAAACTTTATTCACGTGTATCATCAAAACGTTTGTTAAATGTCTTCAGTATTTATGATATTCTACTATAACGGCAAAGTTGTTTGTGTTTGTGTGTATAATTGACCACTGAGACACAAGTGCTCAAACACCACATGGAAATTTCTCCTTTCACAAGGCACATCCAGGGAACATATGTGGCTCTTGTGCTGAAGGTACGTATTCTTATTATATTTACTTTGTATTCATTGCTAGTAATGAGTCTGAAGTCCTTATGAAGAAGTGACCTTTTTCAAGACCTAGGGAAACAACTTGTTTTTATATCAGCTTTTAATCTAGAGATTTAGGTCAGTGAAATTTCCTTACATTATTTACTGGGTTAAATATAACATAGCTAGGAATTTAAACATTGAAACCTGATAGAACTGTTGACCACACAGGTCTCACTTTGATTTAAATGACTCTCATTTTGATTATTACAGTAGCCCCTTCCCACCCCACAAAAGTTACATTTTGAAATAATTTAGGGCAGAATTCAAATAGATCAAACTTAAGACTTGTAGGAACTTCTTATGAACACTGTGTTTCAGGAGACTGTAGCCAGGAGTGAACCCCTGAGATCCTGTAATTACTTTTCAGATTCATTAAAATACAATAGTGAGCATACACTAAATCAGTAGCTCTCAAAATGTGATTTCCTGACCAGTGGCTGCAGCATCATCTGGGAACGTGTTAGAACTGAAAATTTTTGAGCCCCACATCAAAACTATGGATTCAGAAACTTCAAGTTTCATCAAGTGTTTTAACAGGCTTCAGCAAGTCCTTCAGGGGACTGACGTCTGCTCAATTCTTGGAACCACCCCACTAAATAAAACTTTCAGTAGCGTTTTATACACCTTCCACGGATGCTGTTTTAATTCCATTCACTTATCCCTTGTTTGTTGGAAGCTCTTCAGTATTTCCCTCACTTGCAATTTCAAGGAAGTAACTAAAAATTCTTTTGCTTAGTTTTAGATTTATTGAGACTAAGGTGTATTTTCTCCTCTTATATCTGCTTCTCCAGAAGTTGTCTTTGTTTATGATTCAGAATTGTTGACTTCTGCCTCTCCGTCCTACTGTCATCCCCAAAAAGTGCAATCACTCAGATGCTTTTGGGAGTGAGTTGGGATGCCCTTATCTAGTCGTTTTTTTAAAAATTTATTTTGTGTCATTAAGCAAATTAAATATCATTTGTTGTGTCCATCATAACTTCATCCAAAGTATGTGTATTAGTGTGTTCAGGCTGACATAATAAAATACCACAGACTGGGTGGGTGGCTTAAAAAACAGAAATTTGTTTTCTCACAGTTCTGGAGACTGGAAGTGCAAGATCAAAGTTTTGGCCGTTTTAGTTTCTCCTGAGGCCTCTTTCCTTGGCTTGCAGACAGCAGCCTTCTTGCTTTGTCCTCGTGTGGCCTTTTCTCTGTGCACTTGTCCCTCTCTGTTTCTCTTCCTTTTCTTTCTTTTTTTTGAGGAAGATTAGCCCTGAGCTAACTACTGCCAATCCTCCTCTTTTTGCTGAGGGAGACTGGCCCTGAGCTAACATCTGTGCCCATCTTCCTCTGCTTTATACATGGGATGCCTACCACAGCATGGCTTTTGCCAAGCAGTGCCATGTCTGCACCCAGGATCCGAACCAGTGAACCCTGGGCTGCCGAGAAGCAGGATGTACGAACTTAACCGCTGTGCCACCAGGACAGCCCCTCTCTTCCTTTTTGTAAAAGGACACCAGTCATAGTGGATTATGGCACTGTGCTTATGACTTCATTTAATCTTAATTACCTCTTTAAAGACTCTATCTCCAAATACAGTCACATTGTGGGTAAAGACTTCAACATATGAATTTGAGTTTGGGTAACACAATTAGTCCACAGTATGTAATGGCCCACTTTATATATCTCCTTTCCAGACACAAAAGTATGATTGTTAGCATCTTCCCTTTAGCCTCAAGGTTAGAGTGCAAATCTCTATAGTTCTGCTCTTACACCTGCTTTATTGTTTTCTCTCACTTTCACTTTATTCTAAAAACTGTATTAAAGTTATAGTATACCAAATTAGAAATTACTCACAATACATTCATCTAATCAGTTCACTGTGTTTTCATTGAACAAATCTTTGCTGAATGAATAAAGTGGTCCATGTTGACTTGTCTTTGTTCATGTGTTTATTTCATCGCTTTCACTTAACGTTATGCCATGGATCTGTTTTATTTTGCTAGTGTTTTTGTTCTTACCTACTCCACATCCCTTTTCCATCCCCCATTCCACCCTCAGCCTGGAGGTAGTACTGTTAACCATTGTGGCTGCGTATTTTCCATGTTATACAGCGTATACACGTAAGCAGTGGTTCATGGTTTTTATGGGCGAAGTGGAGCAGAAGGGGAGAGGATCACTGCTTTTACAAAAAGGAAATAACCGTCTAGTTTACACATCTTTTCTCCTTCACCCTTCTGTACTTTCTAGCCTCCAGTTCCTCCTTTTTCTTATTAGCTTTGATAGAGGCGAGTTACAATAATCAAATAATAATAAATACTGTAACACTAATAATAAAAGTAAATGAGCCATGATTGAAGGAACTGTGTATGCAATTGAATAGACACGTGCACTCATGCCAGAATTTCAAACAGCCATATTCATTCCATGCACAGTTCTTCTCAATGACTATTTCAAACCGTTACTACCATCCTCAACCTCCAATTCAATGCCAGCTCTCGTAAAACAGGATGATCCTGTTTTTTCATTGCCTTTCCAACAAAATCGGTGGTATTGGGTATGATCCCCTTTAACTTTGCACCTTCATACCTGTAAATTTACAGTTAATTATTAGGAATCAGGATGCAATAAGGAGATGCACGTTATTGATAATCCACTGTTATGAAGAAAATATAAATAAAATCAAATATAAAATGAACATAAATTTAGTTAAAACCTCATCCATTGCTTGGGGGACATATTTGTCATACAGAATTCATTCAAAAAGCTCACTTTTTTTGCCTTAAACTAGCCCACAGCCTGTACACCATCAGATTGTCCCTTAGCAAATGGTTCTCACATCTTCAGTAATCTTGGGCTGCATTCGTATTCTTAACCCTGGTTGTGAATCAAAAACATGAGGGGTGTTTTCTGAAAAAGATGTCTAGGTCCTATTGTGTGGATTCCTAAAGGCTTTTTTTAAAGTGAGAACTGGTTTGAGAACATTGGGTAGGTGTTTCTCCAACTTAATCTTTCTAAGAATCACCGGTAGCTCTACCCTGAGAGACAAGTTGAGCCTGGCTAAAGTAGGGTGGAGAAATTTGCTTTTTGCAGCATTGGGCATCACATGAAGAGGCAGGGGTTAAATTTGCAGATGGCCCCCTCAGCTGTGGCGCATGCCCATTTTGTCATGTGCTCCAGCTGAAGCTGCGCTCAGAGGGTTTTCAGTCCTTCACTTACTGGATTTTTCTCCCTCTCCTCTGAGAGGTTGAAAGTACAGGCTCTAGAACTGCACTGCCTTGGTCCAGGTCCTGGCTACTTCCTACCTGTGTGTGGACCTTGAGTGAGCTCTTCAGCTTGTCTGTGTCACAGTTTCTTCATAAGTTTACGGTATAACCTTCTTTACAGAGTTCTTTGGTGGAGTTTTTTGTGGGGAGGGGATTGTATAGTAAGTGGGTTTCTATATATAAAACTCTTAGGAAACGTCTGCCACTTAGTAAGTGTTCCATGATTGTCAGCCCTTTTTACAATTTGTCACTATTGGTTACTCCTGATTTTCAGTCTTTGCCATCCTGAGGCAGGCTTCTTTGGGCTACACTCATTCCTACCTGCAGTCCCTGTCATTTGCTTTCTGCTCCTTAAACATCAGTGTTGTCGAGGTTCTGTAGTTGGCCCCTTTCTAACTCTTCGCCTTTCCTGGATGGTCATGTCTACTAGTTCGTCTTCCATTGCCTGCATGCTGATGATTCACAAGTTGGTGTGTCTAACCAAACCTCCCTTGTGAGTTCTAGACTTGTGTGTTTCCAACTGCCTGTTCAACGTACAGACTTGGATGTTTCACAGGCACTTTAAACTTTGCACATTCAAACTGACTTCACCACTTCTTCCCAAACCTATTTCTCTTATATTCCCTTGGTGAATGACATAATAATCCAGAAATGGGGAATTATTCTCAATTCTACTTTTATTTCCCATTGATTAACAAGTGTTGACAAGTCAGTTTTTTGATACCTTCCTACTGCATCCCTTCACTACTGTTATTGATGAGGTCTCTCATCTCTTAATTTGGACAATTGAGTCCGGCCCCGAGTGGCCTTTCTGTCTTTCTTCTTGCCCCTACAATCCATCTTCCACACTGTTGGCGGAGTAATCTTTCAAAGAAATTTTACATGTCTGTCTTCCATTGCTGGACTGAGCTCCTTTCGAGGGAAATAGTGTCTCGTTTTTGTAACCCCAGCACCTGTTTAAATATCTGGCAACTTAATAGAGGTGCCATCTTGCGGGTTCGCTGGCCTTCCAGTCACCTTAGACCTGCATTGTCCAGTATGATAGCCGCTAGCTGCGTGTGGCTGTTTAAATTTAAGCCAAGTAAAATTAAAATGACTTAGTCATGCTAGCCACATTTCAAATGCTCCATAGCCACGTGTGGCTATTGGCTACCGTACTGGACAACATGCTTTAGAACATTTCCTTTGCAGAAAGTTCTGTTAAACAGAGC